CCCACCATCTGGACTGCAACAGATTGTTAGCTGGCCGTCAAGAATGTAGCTATCAGGATTCTTCACAAGCACAGGCTACCAGTAAGGACGCCAATACAGCCCTTGATTATCAACCCATAAAACAAATATACTTATATGTACAAGCATGTACAAAGATGAAAAAGAATGACCTAAAAGGTGTTAATGCTTATTACTTTGAAGTCTATGTCTTTAATAGCATACCTTAGAAAAGTTCTTGCCTGCATTAAATGTGGCGTAACCAGCAAAAAGTCATCAATGAGACGTATTAAGACTCTGTAACCAAGAAGAAATTGATGTTAGATGTTTTTATAGGTAATCCTTTCAAATTTTTGTCACTCTTCAGAGCAACAATGTGCCCAGTTTAATTCACAAGACAGTAGGGGCCAACATGATCTCCAAATCGAGTCTTGTGAAGAAATTCTCAGTTCTGCTTCTTTCCTAAAACTGAATGGAAAAAAAAAAAAAGAAAGCAAAGGGGCTGGCTACACGAAGCATGACAGGAATTTACAGCACACAAGCTATTCCACAGTAGCTTCCTGGATGTAGGTTTTTACATTTTCCGAGGGAGAATTTGCAGTATCTTAATCCACAAGACAAAACGTGGTGTAATACCAAGTACACAAGCAGATATCAGAGTCTTGATGTGCTTTAACACTTTATCTTCATTTACTATATAACAACTTGTTTGTGAAGTTATAACTTGAATGTAAACCAGACTACTGTCTACCACTGTAAAGGCTGGAATTTTCTTTTTCAACAGAATTCAGCCCCAAGCACGCTCACATTTTTCTGATAAATCCTGCCTAGCAGATCACAAAGAGGAAGCTCTGGAGATGATCTTATCCAGTCTCCTCTTCAAAGCAGGAGTACTGCCGTCACTATGATCAGATTAGCTGCACCTCTGCCTAGCCAAGTCAATAGCCAAGGTTATTTTTTTAACTTAAAAGGCCAAAAGAAACTATCCAAATCATTCAACAGCCACCTAAGTAACATTCTAAAATCTGCTCTGTATAAAAACAGCTGCTGCACTAAAGACTGCATTCTTCTGAATCAGTTTCATAATTTCAGTATGTATAAACAACATCCTCTGAAAGCAAGAGATAGCTGTTTGGACTCATATCATCACAGCATCCTAAAGCCTATAAGAAGAACTCCACTACTTGTGTAAAGAAATGTTTAAAATTATGAGACTTTCCATGACCCAGTGAGCCTCCCAAGAAGAGAGACCAGACAGATGCACTTATCGGCAGTACTCCTACACACTTCTTCAGATTTTTTTCTTCCTTAGGGCAGAATTCATAGAAACGGAGGGAGACAGATGTGTGAACTCAGACAAGCTGCAGGGTCCAGCTCATGCCTGAAGACCCTATTCTGGGATCCAGCTGGGTATCAGTTCATATGGAGGTAAAAGGGACCCCAAAGTTTTTACAGCTAATAAAGGGGTAGAGCTTTTATCAGGGTAGCTTTCTGTCAAGCTCCTAAAAAGCAAGCACAAAGACCTAGAAGATACACCAAGAGCCACACTGGGCTTCAAACAAGAGCCAACACACCTTGCAAAAAATCTGCAGTAAAGCTGTGACCTTGACAAAACGCTAAGATTTATAGATGGTGGATCGGAAAGCCCTCAGGCAGAAGCCTGGAGTATCAGAAAGCCTGTAACAAGCGTCCCATTGTGTTTGAGGACAAAAGACCACAAGTGTTGTGGGAAGGAGTGAGGAGAACCATAAAACTCTTAGAAGTACAAGAACAGCTTGTCAGACTCTTCACATTACCCCCGAATACTGCGCTCGTGGTAAGGACAGGTCTCCTACCCAATCTGGGAAAGCTTGTTTTCAGCACTTTTCTTCCCAATCTTATGACAAACAGAGAAATTCAAAACCACCACAGTGACACTGAAGGTAGAGAGATGTTTGTGTGTACCAACAATCCTAACGGAGAGCTGGAAATTCAAAATTAAACTTCAGAGAAAATGTCCAACACATATAGCAGATATTATGCATTACTGTAACGGAGCACAGACCAAAGCATCCCTACCCATCCTGCTGTACTCCACAGAGCAATCTGTTTTCCATGTCTCCATAGCATAAACTGCAAAGTAAGGTCGACAAAATGGAGCCCTGTGGAATCCCACAGCACTGCAAGTAGTACCTAGTAAAGAATGACAGAAAAAAAAAATATTTTAACAAAAATCAAAACATGCAACAAGAAGATTGCAATGGCCATTAAACATTTACTTATCTTTTTCAAGTATAACATATACATTTCAATAAGAAAAATGCTACAGGCTTGCTAAGTAGCCTTACTTAGATTTGTTGTTCTTGCCTCTACAAGAATCTACATACGGCTCCAGAAGTTTTAAGTTAAACAGTGAAGAAGACCACTAATACATCTATTCCTTTCTTATTAGCAAACCCCAGCAGACAACTGCCATTAAACAAAAGAAATTGTATAACTGATCTCAAACCACAATGCCTCCTTCCTCCTTCAGCTGCAGAGCCACCCTTCATTTAAGCTTTGTAATTCTTTATGTTACACGTTGCACAGCTTCAAAACAAATGTTCTTGTACAAGAAACAAAGTGCACTGGACAAATCTTTCAAACTATAATTTATTTTTAATTATTATCCAAATAGCTCCTAGCAGGTGCCCAATAAAAATCCACAGGCTGAATCTCGTACTGTACATCTCCATCAGGAATTAAATTCAGGTGGATTTTGAGATGGAACACTTCCAACTTTTCTCAGAAACAGCAGGCATCCACATCAAATTCAAATATAAATGTTCAAAGCTATCAAATCTTGAAAAGTTTTCTGGAAAAAAAAAAAAGCTCTTTCAGCAGCACAAGTCACAGTAAAAATGTTTAAGTATGAAATAATTTAAATCAATAATTTACATTGAGGTGTTTATTTTTTGTTTATACTTGCACAGCACGAGCTGGCCAAGGAAAATATTGTCTTGGGCTTTTGTTTTATTGTTTGTTTTGGTTTCTCCCCCCCCCCCAATAAGTATCACTTTCATTTTAGGGAAATTTCTGATGGCTTAGCCCAATAGAGCATGTGATCTAATTTTATACATCCCAGCTATACTGTAAATCACATTTATTTCCTCATTTAACTGCTCAGGCATGAAGCTATCTTACTTCTAATTAGGAAAACCCACTACGCCCTGTGAAATACTAACCTTTATTATCTGTAATTACACTCAATTTCCCCCCCACCCGGCTGGAAAAGTTCACTGAAGTTATCGGTTGTCATTTTGCAAAAGTAAATCTTGATTTGTTTCTCGTGGCTTCAAAGAATTCACAGAGACATGGCCAGGGGGATGTTCACTAATACCTCCCTCATCTTGTTACCTGTACAAAGCCAGCAAGACCACACACAGTAACAGTGACGTACCGCATCTAGAGAAGCTACTGAAGACAGAGTTCCCCGTTACCTCGTGGATTATTCTATGCTGGCAGCAACAGAATGAGTACGCCTCACAAAACCCGAGGGAATTATTTTCACAACACTCCTCTGAAGTGGTGAGCTATTACAACGTTCATTTCACCATTACTACATGAATGGCTTAGCGAAACTGAAGAGAATCAAATTATGCAACTGGACCCCAGAGCCACACACTACAGTGACCTTACCTATGTTTTGAGTCATCTGCACATTTTTCTAGCAGTAGTTTTACATTTTTCCAGACTTTTGCTGAATGTGTCAAATGGTATTAAAAGGTTCCTTCGAGGTCCCCAGCTCAACCGTTAGCATTTTTCTCAAAATATCAAGTGAACGTTGACTAACTGTGATGGCTTCTGGAGAACCATCAGTTAAAGTGTATATCTATTTAGTACACTTATTTGCAGTTTGGGGTTTTTTTTTTGAACAAATGAGAATGAGCTACTTAAAAAGGGCAAATTCATTCCAGGACAAACTATTCTTCAGCTAAGCTGTGGCTGAATTTAAGGAAGTGTGAAGTTGGCTTTGTTGGGGTGCGCTTTCTTTAAAACCAAATGTTTAAAAACATTTATTAGATTTATTAATTAAATGTATTAAACATACTGATGTCGGTGAGTCCTTATTAACAGCATGCCATGTCAGCATTCTCGTGATCCTGCCAAAGGGAGTATAAGTACCAATGCTAGAAAAACCCCTTCTGTTTGCCTCCTTGAAAGCTTTTCTCCCCTCCCTCAGCCCTGTGAGATGAAGCATGCTACATTTTTTCAAGAGCAAGAAGCTATTCATTCTAATACACCTCACTCTGAATTTACAAATAAAGATCATGTAAGTACTTGCTTTCTAGACATGCTATACATTTGGTACCTAGAGGCAAAATGTAAATACCAGATCAGTATCTCCAGCAACACAAGAACCCGCACTATTACCCTCTATAACATCTGATTCCTAATTTTGGAGTTGCCAATAATTTTAATGCCTGTTGTTACTGCCTTTTATTTTTATTGTAACTTGACAAATAGCAAGGCCATGCAGAAAAGGTTTAATTTTGCACTACAAGGAAATGACTAATAAAGCTTTTGCATGATTGCTTGGATGTTATCTTGCTTTTGTTCACCACTACGGAACACAACATTTTAAAGTATTTTTCTTTTGAACTACAGCTGCAGTTTTAAATGAAGAAGGTTACATATTTGTAGAATAATGCATTCCGTATGTAATTAACAGCATCCAGGCGGGCAAGAGAAACTGTATTCAATATCCATTTGATTCAAAACTTCTCACGCTTTTATGCAGCTTAAACAGATAAACAGATTTCAAACTAACATGAAATCAAAACCTTCAAAAGACAGCTATCAAAAATCCCCTGAGCCAATTAAGTATCCTGCTTAACAGAAAAAAAACAACTAACCAAAACCCACCAAACACACTATACAAAGAAAAACTAACATCTTTTTTACCTGCTCCCAATCTCCAGGATGTTGTTATGTATCATTTGAAGAAAAAAAGTAAACAGACTGGAACTTGTCTCATTAAAAGTTAAGCTCTAGAAATGGGACAAAACAAAACAAGATTTGCACTTTAGAAATGTACTGAAACTAAAAATACAGCAAACACTTAAGATACACTGAAACCTTTATGAGAAGTTAGACTGTAGTAGTTCAAACCTGTAAGGAAAGAAAAAAACCACCTAAACCCAAGATCTGAACACACACACTTAAAAAGCTGTTCACATCCAACAAGTAAACGGTGCAGTTCTGGGCTTTTGTTTTGCTTTAGGAGAAAAGCAGTTTTGATTGGTCTTACATGGGAAAATAAGTCAAATACAAAATCTGAAACCACTTTTTAATTGCTGGTATATTGTATACTACATTGGATTATTACAATGTATGAGACCTCACCCCTTTGGCCACTTTCTATCCTGAAGGACAATTTCTGCAACTGTCTCGTTCTTTACGATTCCCCAAGTACAGATACACTCACTTGCCAGTTCTGCTGCAACGACACACTCCTTGCCACATATTACCAATGATTTCCTGCATGATTGTCCACCCAATATTTATGAAGCTTTTTGTGATAAAAATTGTGGAACAAAAAATACATTTAGAACAGCTTAAACCCCTTCAACCATCACTTTGTGTGAAGGAAAGCAAAATTACTTCCTATTTGCATAGATTAAACATCAGACAAATGCAGCCACCATTTGACGGAGCCCTATGAGATCATGGCTATTTGTACTGAAAAGTTAACGTGAGCACCTGTGGTACAGACACCCAGGCTGACATGGCACTTTCCTCAGAATACTTTTTTTTAATAAAGTAATGAAACACACACGCACACAAATTATTTTCAAATGTAAAATATTTTCAAACAGGACGGTGCTGTTCATGTAGTAACTAGCATAGTTATCTAAATCAGATGTCCAACGGAAAACCCACCAAACCAAAACCTACATACACATCATCAGAGATCCAGCCAGTTTTCATTTTCATCCATGTACTCACTAGGCTCTCTGCACTTTGGAGGATCCTGGAGTTGAGCACCACCCACACTGTATACTCTACTCCTATGTCCATAGATACACAAGATCATTTTACTTGCCTCTTACAAGCATAAATTACCCTATGACAAAATTTTCCACTGGCAAGTTTAGAAAAAAAAAAATTAAAGAGGAAGTAGCCTCTGAGAAAATACCTGTCTGGCCATCTGATGCTCAGGAATCTTGGAGGTTGTTATCATGGAACACCGTGATGCTGGGCAATAAAATGTGTTAAGAAACTGATTGAGCATATCACCTACTTCTATGCCATTCTCTGTCATCCTCCTTGCACAGAAGGAAGTTTTGAGAACAAACATTTGGAATTAGTACAGTTCTCTGCAGCACAAGAATTAAAACAAGAGAAGGATGCTTGCTTCTTATAACAGAGCGTCAGCTGGGGTAAATCTAAAATACATATAACTTTTAACCGTACTTTAAATCACTGGAAGTGAGAAATCTCTTTAAAAAAAATACCAGAGTTGATCTTGATTTGTGTTGCATTTTAACTCCTCTAAAGGAGAGTTCATTCTTATCATTTGCCAGTTAATTATTAAAATAAGCTTTTTTTAAAAGAATAATATTTTTCTATTCTGTGTCATTTGCTATTCAAGACGCCACAACTATTTCCTTAGCTACTTAGCTGAGAATACATTTTGCTCATTCTTAGTTCTGTACCTTTTGGGGACAGCAAATGCTGAAGCCCTGCTTTACCAGATAGTTAATTTCTCACTTGAGAACTGCTGCAACAAACAATGGAATTAGGAAAGGAAAAAGAAAACCATGGTTAAAATGAAAGTCTGAGACAACAAGGAGAAAATCTGGGAAGAAGCTGCAAGGACGTTTTGTCAGATTTCTCTCCTGGTGCACTCCTTCCACTGAAAACTGAAAGCCCCTTATAAACATCAAAGAAAAGATGACAAAAATCTTCCTGTGGAAGGTGCTGGGTGACTACAAGAGAGGTGGTGTCACCACATAATATGTACATTCAATTAAAATCCTAATCTTCCTCCAATTCTTCCGTAGCTTTCTTTTTCAGCTGAAAAGAAGCCTCCCACTACTTACCTGCTCAACTATTATTGCATTTTGCAATGAGGCGTTCTCCTGAAGCTGGGACACAAACTGCTTCATGTCTGGCATAAAATCCTTGAAAGTAGAAACCTGGATATTGAGTGTAAAGAAATAAATGACAAAAGCAATAGAAAATTCAGAACCAGACTCTTTTATTCAGTGAAGGTCAAAGGGCCAGCCTTATTGCATTATTTTAATCCAAGAATTCTGCTATTGTTAAAATGAAATACTTCCCTCACAGAATCTCTATTTCCACAACAGCTTTATCTTTATTCTTACTAACATTGAGTAAAAAGTGTAAAAAGTAGAGTAAAAGAAGCTTTGCTGCCTCTGGAAAACATCCAACACTATTAAAAAAGGGTTTATGAAGTAATTGCCTAATTCAAATCGTGACTAAAGAAAAAAAAGCTATAAACAAAAATATTGCTTGGACCAAAATATATCTACAGCAGCAAACAGAAGAAATCAGCAAGTCATACATGTCTCCTATAGAACTTCCTGGCTTTTCCACTTGTGGTAATCATAATCACGGCGTAGCGCCGTATGCAGTAGACAGTTCTTTTCTCAGGGTTTAAGATCCGTGATATCACTTCCACAAGTTTATTGTGAGGAATGGTATCATAAGCCCTGGACACATCAGCCTGAAACAGAAGAAATATCTTCCATTATGCATTCATCAGTATCCCCGTAAACACTATGGTAGTATGAAAAAAGTATTGTTGTAGTATATAAACAAGGCTGAAGGATAAATCACACCGGAGTGGAATTATTGCATCATTCGGTCCAAATTTGTGACAAAACAAAAACTCACTGCTTATCCGCAAAACCTTTCCTCACTCATCAATGAGTTTTCCCTTACAAGGGATAACCGAACCATGTTTTAGCACAATTCTTGTCATTAACAGAAGGTGATACCATATGCAACCTCAAATCTAATGCTGAACCTTCAATCATTTAACTAAGGTTTATTGCTGTTATTTTTGGATGATTAAAAATTTTAGGAACCTTCCTCTCCATATGATCACGGAGGTGACATCTTAGGCTTTTGGAAAGATGCAAACCCGGATGTAGCTTGTTTGTTTTGTTTTTTTTTTAACCTTTCCTAAACCTCACACTGCAATCTTACCTCTGCTTTTATTTGTCATCGTCAAAATTCAAAACCTTCTGATGAAGCAACAATCTTAGGAGAACTATGTCAATGACACGATTCTTTCGCTTGAAAGATAACAAGACAACCATTGAAAGTAATTTCAGGACAGAAAGGCAACTGACATAGGAGAGCAGGGGGAAGGAGCCCCACTGTAACACACAGAAATCTGTGTAATCTACATACATCTGTATAAATGGCCCCAATTCAAAGCTATGAATTGAGCTCAAACGCAGAAGGTTTTGCCTGCTAGACATAACTGAAACACAAGTGTTAAGAAGAAACTCCTTCAAATAGAGGGGGTACAAATACTCTTTTTTTTTCCAGCAGGAAAAGAAACTTGTTGGAGAGACACTAGAGTTCCAGCGTTCATTTTTAACACAAACTAATGCTACTGAGATAGAAGAGACCTATTTTTAAAAAGATGCTGAATTTATCCAAATGCACATAGAAAGTTTTTCCTGGTTTTCCTTTGGGAAGAGGCCCTAAAAGCATATCTGAGTTTATATCTCTGTCCCATTTTTATACCCACGTAAATGTAACTGCAAAAATCCAGTGCACGTGCAGCAGCAAGAGCTGCTACATGACAGAAGGATGGACAGAAGAATATCCAAGCAAAGGAAGTGCTATTGCAGGGACATGCCCTCTTAAAAAATAAAACAACCAACCAACCTCTCACCCCAATAAACAACCAGAGTCTGTGTTAGGTATGCACAAAAGTTTATTTTGAAGAAGAAACAATTATGCAGCCAGATCACAGCTATTACAGCTACAAAAGTATCTGCACAAGCTGACTTTGAAAAGCTAGTTTGAATATGTCATCATAAAGACATACCTTTACATAGTAGAAATGAGGAATTTCGCCATCCGATTCAAGAACCTTTGTCACAAACTTCTTCCAGGTCTTGTAGATATCATCCTTCCCAAACACTGAAGAGCCGATAAAACTGGTGTTTATGGTCCGTTCATAATTTAACACACTAAACAGGTTTTTCAGTCGAGTGTTGTAGTGATGCATCTAAAGAGACCAAAGAGACCTTAAAGTCTGTTGAAACATTAAATACCGTACAATTCACAGATTTCACATCGAGATGAAATATGAGATTAAATTTATATATTTACTATAATATTTTGGTCAACTGCAGGTTTCAGAAAGCCTGAATATAGCTGCAGTAACTGCTTGGAAGTGACAAAACAGTCTCAGAGATTTTTTTTTTTAAATATTTAAATCCTATGGAAAATGGTTTTTTTTTTCTGTATTTGATCTTGGACCTCAAGGAGATAAATAGGTGGAACTCCAACAAACAAAACCACCACCGATTAGAAGGTAAATTCTTACATATCACTTATTCTCTCTTCTGGAAATGATCACCACAACAAGAACAGTAAAAAGAACATGTGCCCCGAGACTTGAGGCTGACTCCAGCTGCACCGTCAGCTCAGCCTCCGGAGGTACTTTGTGCGAGTACTTCGCACAGATTTAACTCTGGCTGCGGGAACAGTGACGTACACCAGAGTGGCGGTGAAGTCGTGCAGGCTGATTAGCTCTGCAAACACCCTAAGGAAAAAAAAATATTGACAGACCTGGCAACAAATGAATGTTGAAAGGGCAAGCCATGCTACTGAAGAGAACAAACAAACTGCACACGTAGCATACCTATAAATCAGCTTAGAACTTCAGAGAAATCCTCCAAAATGTATACACAGAACATAAACCGGTTCTTACTCTCAATGGCAGTATTGTGATCATGATATGGATACACTGAAACTACTAATTATGGAAGCATTCCAATTCATCTGAAAACATTTATTTTTGCACTGAAAAAAATCAATTATAGGTTTCAGTGAAGAGCTGGCAAAACTAAAGCACACCGAAAATGATTAGTGTACTACTGCCACTGCCTCCAAAACAACTTGATCCAACTGCACTGTTTTAGGTAAGGTAAATAACTACGTTCATTCATTGGGTGATCTTGCAAAATGGTTTTGACTAGCTTATAAAACAAAGATTTCTGAAAATTAAGAAGCTTTCCTCAATTACTGCAGTGGTATCTTTTCTGTTCTAGGCCAAGCTCCTAAGAAAAACAGTCAAAAGGGAAGAGATGCTCAAAGGTAAACAGAAGCAGCAAGATCAAAGTAATCATCAGCAGAAAAGTTCCTCCTTTCCTTCTTAATGAGCACATCCCAGCATGGTTGCTTTTCCACAAGAAACACACCCTCACGTTTCCACAAAGCTGATGGCCATGGGGGTGTTAGCAGGTGAGTCAATAACAGAAAATTGAGACTAGTTTCAAACCCAGTTTGAACCAGACTTGAGAGACCTGGAGTTGCAGTAGTCTCAGTAGCTCCTCATTTTCACGTTAGAAGGAATTCCCTCGAGCCTCTTAATTCCCCAGAACAGCTCTGATCCAGAGAGTTGTTAACAGTTTTGCAAAACCTAAAGATCTGCTGGAATCAGTGAAAGACTATAAGCTTCCAGACAAACCAGATCTTTTAGAACCCTGCTGCCCCCCAGTGCTTTGAGCTTCCCATTAAAATAAAAAAAAAAAAAAAAAAAAAAAAAGTTCAAATGAAAAAGGAAGCAAATACGTGAAACATTTGAAACAAAACAAGATCTACACCGATTTGAGGATAAATTCACAGAACTGGACTCATTCCACCATGTATTTTGCAGCAGAGTTTGAGAGCTGCCCAAGAATCAGAAGATGGTTTGCTGGGTATCTGGGAGATTATCTCTGGCAATTCATCTGGACACATTCCAGTGCTGAGCTACAGAAGCTGGCCAAGACTACCCCTACAATTCCAAACTGACTTCCAAATTCCAAAACCTGGAATATCGTCAGACAGAAAGAACTGGAAAATTGTCTTCCTTCTACAATTTAAATGCTAGGAGGAAAGTGGAGAGCAGAGACAAGCTGGATTTGGTACAGGATGAAAAGCTGGAATAGAGTGCGGGATAAAGGCCATGACAGAAACAAATTGAGTAGCCATGAAGGTCTGGCAGGGGAGAAGACTACTTCCATTGGGTTGGAAACCCTCAATTGATGATTATTTTGCACTAGACACTTTTCTCTGGCTCAATCTATTATCTGAGAAGAAAGGTAACACTACCACCACCTTCCGTTTCATGGATTTATGAAAATCATTAGCTATGCTTCGTGATTAGCTTAGACAGATGAGGTCTGTCTAAAAGCTGAAGACCTCAGCATCCTCAGTTATTTGTCAGCGCTCTCCAACTGGATTCTATTGCTCCCACTTTTCAGTAGACAGATATTCCCTCTCAGCTCCAGGGCAGCCAGCTTAGCTCAAGTCACTTGATCAGCTACCATAGTTGACACTGAACCTTCATCTTCTTCAGTATATTCATGTCACCCTTTATGCCAGACCTGTTAAAGGAGCAATAGCACTGCAGCTATTTCCAAATTAACTGCGTGCATACTCTCAAATCGAAGGATCCGATTGTCACAGAAAGACCATGGAGAAATAACACTTCAGAACAGCTTTTAGCTGATGCCCTGTAAATCTGGTCTGGGATCACATCCTGAACACTAAGTACTAAGAAGCCATTGACCTCTCACCCATTTGTGGAACATTTAATCTTGTGCACTAAATGGGGCTCGGCCTTAAGGAAAAACAATTACTGCAGTCATGCAAGACAGTGAAAACAGGGTTCCCACTATGTCTTGTGGTTAACTGGCCTATTAAACAGATTATTCTGTGCACTGCGTGTTCTGCCTCTGTTCCCACACTGCAGTAATTCCCAGCTTCCTTCCTGCCTCCCCTCTAGGCTTGATCCAGCCCCCTCGCCCTCCGTAGACCTTCCTCTGTAACACACCCTATCACCACTGCGCGGCCCCTGGGCCGCCCCAGCACCACAGCCCACCAGCCCGTCAGCGTGCACAGCCAGTATTCAGGTAAACCCCAACATCCCAGACTCGTGCATCCCTCACCCTTGGGCCTGCCAAACAAACAGGACCTGTTAGTTCAGAACACTGAGTATCTTTGCGATTGCCATCCTTCTGCTCCCATAGACAGCCAACGCCTTCCACAATCACCGTTAGCAAGCCCGAGGGAAAGGGATGGGAAGAGAAGAGGCACAAAGCACGATTACCTGACAGGCCAGGCCATTCTGTTGGACTCGATTTCCTTAAGACAGGCTTGCAGACAGAGGTAGGAGATTCTGGAATTGGAGGCTAATGGTAACTGAGCAGCGGTAAGGGAAAAGCTAAGTTGCAACAGGTAGATCCACTCAGTCATTCTGATTTGAATGTTCCAGTTCACCACGTTAAAATAGTTTTATATAACAAAACCCCTCACTCGCTTTATTAGCTGCCTACATCAAAGCCACATCAAACAATAAAGAAAATAACAACCTTCTTTTCTCTGCTTTCCCTGCTGAATGCTCGTGCTTCAACAACACCGCTCACTTTTACTATGGGTCTTAACCCATTTGCCTTGGGAATGAAACGGAGCTTTGATGCCACAGGAACGTTGTTTTTTTGACGGACAGCTTCAATCTCCTCTGAAGATAAAGCGCGTAGATGTACTTTGGCAAAATGGTTTCTAAAACACAAATACACATTTAGTGTAAGCAACAGGAAAGGCAGTAAGTTAAAACATTTAAATTCTTTATGATAACTGAAGCCAAATATTTTTCTAAGAAGATAATTACAAATACTAACCTCTGCAGAAAGTGACATGGAAATTTGAACTTCAGAACAATTTCACTGTATCTTAATGACAATGTAAAACAATAAGAAAAGAGTACACATTTCTGCTTGATGCAAATTAAGGTAACTAAAAAAAAAATATCTTAATTAACATAAATGAAAATTTAAGCACATCTTAGCCGAGTACATTTGAACATTGTATTTTCTATGCAAGACAACGGGAAGCTGGATACTTCTCATGGTTTCAGAAGCTTGAAAGACGTTAAGAAAGTTGAACAGAACCTTCTGAAAACTGTGTTAAGAAAGATCCAGAGAAGGACTTACACACTGTAAGGGTCTGTTCTCCCATTATTTAGGGGACCTACTACTTATTAAGTTATAGTGAACTGAGATACTAGGATACATATACAACATAAGGGCATTTAGGTATCCAGTAACACAATTCAAAAGAACTGATCTGATGAGCAGGCATCAGCTAAAGTGACCAGCAGAAAATGATGAAGAACAGAGGGCTTCCAAGTCACAGGTTCTGAGCTCTGTAAGTTCATCTCACCAGGGAACATGTTTCCCCCTCAGACACCTGCTCAGGATTCACACTTCGGTGTAGCTTAGTCCAAATCAATACCTTCCCATGCAATGAGGCAGGAAAAGGAGGTGGAGCAAGAGCCCTTGCTTCTACTTAAGATGTATTGTGAAAGTGCCCTAACTGCCATGTAAAAGACCTGGATCAATCTCCTGCACGGACTGTATTGTTGGGATGGACAAAACACGCCATTCCAAAAAGCCCCGCGGCCTAGTGGTCAGGATACTCCCCTGGGAAGGCAAGCAAGGCAATTCAAATCCCCACAAAAAGGACACGAACCTAAACGTGCAAGCAGGTTTTTCAGATCCCGCACAGACCAACAGGCTCGTTTAGCGAAAGGAGGCCACACTAGCACAAAGGGCAGGGATGGACGGGGGACGCCCGGCAAGCATGCCCTAGGAGACACCCGAGAAGCCAAGCATGCGGGTAGGAGAGGCACGGAAATACTTCTGTAGGCCAGCACAACTCGCCTACAGGCTAGCGATTCAGCCGCTTGGGACTGTCGGGGTCCAAGTGATACAGTGCGTAACACCCAGAACGTATGAAGGCATCCAGGGCTGGCAAGCTGAGCTATTACTGAGCGAGTGCTTTGTAGGATTTGTATTCAAGCTTTGGAATTAAATTCCTGGTACAGATGCTGCCCAAAGTAAAGCAGAAAGGACAGGAGATCCCTTTTCCATAGCTAGAGATCACTGTTATTATGACTTAAATTCTTTCCTGAACCGATAAAACTTCATCATGTACTACAGTATTAGGTAGAGCAAGGCAAAACAAAGAACTCCAGCTTAACAGAAACAACTGAATGATCAAATCTCCATCCCTTTACACTTCATATTTAAGACGAGAGGAAAAAACTCAACCACTGTATAAGAAAATATGACTGACTTTGAAAGTGAAGAAAAAGGCCAATTACCTTCATCATTACTACCTCTGGCCAGCTGTAGAACTGGATGTCATTTTGCCTGCAGCAACATCCATTGCTTATTTCACGGCACTGACAGCAGTGCTAATGATTCTGAATACGCACTAATCTAGTGGTCGCTGAACCGTCCTTTGCACACTCACAACACTGTTAAGCATTGGAACTAGGAGGACATTGGATGGTCCCGCTGTCTTTTGACATCTCACCACAACCTACAGGGGAGATTCAGAACTTCTGCAGCATTTTCAATCCTCAGCAGCCACTGTGTGTGGCAAGGGAGCGTTCCTAAGGAAAACAGGTGCTGTCATCACAACACTGGGTACACTCTTAAAATGTAACTTTGCGTTCTGTGGGGCACGTAACTTGAAGCAACTGTTATCACAAAATACTGATTTTTTCATAATAATTACTGGTTTTAATTTGGGGTATGAAGTTGGTACAGGTTCAAAAATGAATAAAAAATTGTCCGTGTGTGAAGACCAGCACACTCTCACCTCCACCCGTACAGCAAGACAAACATACAGGTTCAAGTCCCCTCTCAGAACTGTGCTCTGGACTGTTGAGTGGGATTCTGCACAGGAAGATCTACTCATATGGACTGTCCTTCAGGATGGGGATTTACTCCCTAACAACAATGCAGGGCAAAGGCAAGCTCATGCGTAAAGTCCAGGTCCACTCAGTCCAACCTGCTCCATCCTTTCTCTTCCTCCCAAAGGAGGATGCAAAAGAACTGGAAAGCCATCAGTGGCTACGCTTGGCTGTGAAGGCCTTCCTGCGAGCCAGCTCAGAGCAATCATCACAAGCAGCTCCAGCTAAGGAGAAGAACCAGGATAACCACAGAACAGCCATTAGGGCAACAACTGAGGCCACCAGATACTCTGCCTCCAAGGAAGATGGAAGCAGCTGAACAGCCTTTGGCACCAATTCACCAACAGTGCCTGAAAACGGCCGGTTAAGAGAGGGTGATGCCTGCGGAGCCTCAAAACGGCCGAGGCAACCCGGAACAGCTTTATCTCCAAACCCCAACTTCTCTCCTCCCGTGTGCAGCAGGCAGCTTGCCACCTGTACGCGTGCAGCAGGCTGGATGAGCAGGAAACCTCACGCTACACTGCACACTCGACAGCGCAGCGCTGAAAGCCCCAGCCTTGTGAGCGAAGCCGAAGCGCAGCTGCTGGGATCACACCAGCAGTCCACGTCGCTACGTCTCCTGCAGCCCACAGCAAACACCCTGTCCTTACAGCACGCCCCCGGCAAGCAGGCAGCAGCGCTTCCTTGGGATGCTTCCAGTAATCCCCAGTTCAGGGACTCAGCCAAAGGCGAGAAGGGGCTTCCTGCACGGTGGGGAAATATGTGGGGAGGAAATCAGAAGTAACAGGCTCAGCCCAGATCAGGGTCTTTTGAGTTCAGAGCACCTTGTCCTTACACACTGGGTTTTTCTGGGAAACTGGGAAAAGGGACAAAAGGGCTAAACCCCAAAATATTTGTTTCCTTTTAATCACATACCCCACTAAAACCAGCATTATATCTAATGTGTAGAAGTTAGTACTTGATGATACTTTATGCCAAGAAGTAGCCTTTGAAGTACATTAAAACTACACAAAACACTAACTGCAACACTAAGGCTTTTAGTTTAAAGACAAGACAAACATAATACGTGGGACTGAAAATTATATTCTACTACTACTATTTAAACTGCATATACCGTGCTACAACAAGATCGAGGCCCCACATGTGAAGTGTAAACACATATGCAGAAGGGCTGCACTGGAGATACCAATGTTGAAATCAGGGAGCGGCAGGGCAGGAGGGGAAAACCCACAAATGTCACACTGTACACCAACAGAACAGTGTGAGAGCAAAAGCTTCACCATATAAAACAGCTGTTAAAACACAAGACACCAAGTAAGCTTATTCTGCACAGTTCTAAAGCTCTCAGACACCAACAATTTAGAAGGAAAACCCAAAAGATGTCAACTATGGAGATATGTGCCCAACACTGCTCATTAAAATTGCCTTCAGGTCTTTCCTGTTTTCTCACTTAATTGCTTAAAATTTGATCTTAAATAATGCCTTAAGTACACACCTGCATTTTTAAGACCAAAAAAGCAGCACGGAATTGCACAGCCACACTTAAAAAAAAGCTGCAGTTTTCAAATCCCTGAACCTTCAAAAAAACATAAAACCACAAGGCTACTCTCTGAATTTATGAATAGAGTATTACAGCATTTCGGCACAGGTTTGTTTTTTTAGTTGGTTGTTTGGTTTGGGGATTATTTTTTTTTTTTAAATTAAAGCCATTGAAGCAAATCGAGTATTTTTATAACTAACTTTCCCAAGGTTACTTTGGATTCTGTCACTATGCTTTCTCATTGTTAAAAGGTGTAAAAAAATGGACTTATCAAAAGAAAATCCTCTTCATAATGGATTTTATTATTGCAAAGGTTTCTCTTCTACCAAAGAATTCTAAATTTGAATCAGTTTTCTCACACAAAATATTTCTGAATTTACAAGCTGTGTATACCAAATATCACAGGTTCAATTTTCTTTTGGGAAATTAAGCAAATAAAAGAAGGCTAAATGGGCAATAAACAAAAACACAATTATAACTTTACACTATAAAACACGAGATTTCCACATATTCCGTTAATGTTTGATTAGTTTTCTAATGTTACCTAATTCCAATGTTCTGTAACTTGCCCCAAATAAGCTTTCGGTAGTAGAAAAGCATGTTTTTCTGGAACATGGTCTCGGTGATATAGAAAAATGATCTGAGCAACTCAACAACATAGGTATCCATCAGCCAGTATAGGAATTTAGCCAAAAGTTCTTCACGGAAACAATGTTCATAGGCAGGAACAAAGTGATCACCTTCAATAAACAATTCAAAGGTGGTTATAGTAAATATCAACTATCCGTATTAGTAAAGAAACAGAACATACAAACAAAACCCCCACACTTAACACTCTTTTTTCAGCTTGAGGTTAATGGAAAGAAAAAAAGCAAATACAAACAACTGCACAGATGCCGCTCCAGATTTTCACTGGCATTAAACAATGTGACTGACCCAAGCTCCAAGTACAAACACAGAAGCTAATTTGCAGTGACGAACGGACACACAGGATACAAATGCACGCCGTTAGTAGCCCGAAGACTTACTCTCCTTCCCCAGTGTTGACTGTGCAAGGTCAGTAATGCACAACGGCAAGATCATTGTGAAGGGCAAGGTAAAACAGAAATAAGCCTACTACAATGTAACGCTTTCAAAAAATAAACCAAAGAATGAACATGCTTAGGTATACTGTAAAAATAACAGTATTGAACTGGGCTGACTTGGGGATGAGAATGACACTCAGACTTCCCAGTTCACAAAAATTAATTTCAGGGTTAGGCTTTCCTGCAGACTTCCTGTATAAAACTCATTGCTGCAGTCAACGCAAAAAAAAAATAATAAAAAAAAAAAATCACCCCAAGTCCATCAGCACTTACAATATTTAGACAGCACAAAATTTACGAACCCAGAGCACAGCTACTGACAAATTTAAGGCCACACAGGTTTGTAGTGATGTCTAAATATGGGTGAGTAGGGAATAAAGCCCTGTCCTACAACACCGAATTTTTGCCAACTTCCAATAATACTTCTACTAATTAAAGAGCAGAATTTAGCAAAATGTTAACAGGATAATTTAGAGAAATTAAAGAGATATATTAGTTAAGCTGCATAGCACAAATCACAACTGTGGCACAAATGTGTTAAAAACAGCTTAATTTTGATACCACAGAACTGAGGCTTAAAACTGAAACTTATAAAAGGGAACCAAGTTTCCAGTTCTCTACCCTGTTTTGGTTTTGTGTGCTTCAGGGTGGAGACATTTCCATGTAGTTACAGCACCTATGAAAAGACTACAATAAAGAGATAAAACAGTGTTTACTTCAACAGAAGCCAGGTAACATCAAGGAAAAAAATGCAGTGATTGTTAGAAAGTTCTCTAACTGAAGAGTTGTGATATGCAGTTGTGATACACAAATTAAACCGGGATGCGAAGTAGCTGTCCTGGAACTAGATCATTTGTTTTAAAAAGTTCTTGACAACAGATGTAAATGAGGCGTACAGTTCAGGGAACTGACAAAAAACCACTACTACTACTTTTGGAGAAAAAAACACCCCACACCTACAGTGCAGCAAAGCAATTAAATGTGTGTTTAAACTTCATACACAAGGGAGTCGTTTCATGAACATCAAAATCAAGCCTATGAGTTGCTTCTCCTGGAATAAGGCCAAAGAACAGGAGGGTATTACAGTTTTTAAGATAAGATGTTCCAAATTACTATGAACCAAACGTATATTTTACAGTAAAAACCTTTAAAAATATTTAACTCGGCTTTTTGAAAAAGCATGGGTTTGAGCCCTAGTTTCTGAATAAAGAATCAATGGGTTTGCTAGAATTAAGTTTCTTATGGAGGTGTAACCTCCCCTATGTTCTCAAACATCAGACTTTTTCTTTTCCTCCCACGTTACAAAGAACCTGTATTAATTTCAGAACCTTGTCACACCTTTTAAAAAGGAACACCATTTTCAGCTCACATTACTGTAGGATCCAAGTACATTACCAGGTATGAATAAACACTGCAAACGCACCAGCTGAGGAAGTGCAAACCACATTGTAGAGATGGAGAATGGAAGCACAGAAACACGTCAATATGCATTAGATCCTACAGCAACCGACCACAGCTTCAGCCTAGATTTAAGTCCTAGGACAGCGCCTGAAGAAAGACTGCTCCAGGGAAGCAAGATTTACCTGTCATCATCTGAAAAAGAGGACTAAACAGAAGGGTTTCGTACAGAATTTGGTGCCATCAGCCGATGCCCTCACGACAGCTTTCAGCCAGGGACCACTCGGTCTGGTGACCTCTGCACCATCAACAACCCAGCCTGAAGCAGCGCTCAGTATGGGTGTCTCGTCCCTGGAGAAGGACTCTAGAAAGGTGACGGATGGTGGGCAACCCCTGTACTGCATGGGTCCCATACTCACATCTTTCTTACAAGACTGATGTGAATGGGAAAAAAAACTCTCTGTGGGATGAAGGTCCACTCCCGTTGCAGAGGAACACACGCCACTACGAGTGTCTGGATTTGCCTTTAGCTCTTTCTGAAGGCTTAGGGTCACCAACAGGCAGACTGCATTTGTTCCGTAAGTGCCTAGGTCATACTTCAACGAATTTTCAGAGTTACTGCAATTTGGAGGGTAGGGGTGGAAGGGAAAGTGTTTTGTTCAAAGACCCAGGTTCTGAATTCATGTTTGTGAAAACATCATCCTATTAAACACAAAAAGCGTGAATGAAAACGATGAAAACTGAAGTTTTGGAAGGAAGACAGGCCTAAGTGTTCTTCCACCACCAATTACAAACGCTACGAGGTTTCCTCTCTCGCCTGTGGTTATTACCAATGAACCCAACAACTCTGAACCCAGAGGCAACTCCCTCCCCTTCCCACCTCAAACATGAACGCCAGCCATCTGACACCCCCACCACTCCGTTCTTTAACATAAGAAGTACCTTTGACCAGACGAAGCCACACGCAGTCATTCACTCTCATCTTCCACATCAACTCCTGCAAGGAAAGCTTAGCAAACTTCCCCATGGAAATAAACGCTTTCACGTTTTTTAAGAACCGGCACTTGTTATGGTTTGAACCCCAAAGCTCAGCGGGGACGACCCGCTCCAGGCACTCCCTCACCCATCCCCCTGCCAGTGGCTGCTGTGCTGCTTGAGGAGCTCCCCGAGGGCTGAATCGCACACCTCTCCTGGGCTTTGCTCCTCGCTCTGCGACTCCCCACGCACAGACTTTGCAGGAGGAGCGCAGAAGCTGTCTGGCACATCAGCGTGACCAGATTCACGCCTGCTGCTGGTCACACACTTAGCAGGCTCTTTCCCAAACTGTTCTGCTTGCTCGTGAACCTCTGCTTCCCCAGGCAAGGCTGCCTGAGAAGGCAGCTCAGTTTTTCTCACACTGGTTTCACATATCCAGACAGGGCAATTTTTTTTCAAGAGAACTACATAAGGGCACTTTCCATGGTTCTTTAACAGTTTCTGAAATGTCTGTCTCATTTGCCAGTAGCGTTTGGGCAACCTCTTCTTTCTCCAGTTGTGATGTGGCAGACTTTGGTTGTGCTTTTGCTCCACCAGATTTTGGCTTAAGAATATAGTTTCTATAAGCCGTCTTCCACCTGCCTGACAGCCCTGCAAGCGATTCAGTAAGAACGATTTAGGAAAACATTCCTGGAAACTCCTGTGAGAATACAGAAGAAACTTCCTGTCAATGTATACTGCAGAACGCAAGAGTGTATTCGGTAGCTTCTTTGCCAAACGAGCTAGGGGACTTTCCCGCCTTGTGCATTTTGAAGAAACACCCTCCATGGGTTTGATTTGTACAGAATCCAACTGAGATTCACACATATGCATGTCTACTTCTTTCCTACAGGATTCTGCTTGCATTTCAGTGCTGGACTTTACAGGTTTGTTAGTCTGAACTCCTTGCAGGAAAGAGCCTTCACCTGCCACAAACTTCTTCCCGTCACAAGATGTGTGAACTAAAGAAGGACCAGACATATCACTGTTACTTCTTTGAGAAACGTGGGGTTTTTTAATGAGACTTACAGAATGCGATGCTACATACCCAGTTCCACACCTCTTGGAACTACTTTGGTTTACAACAGGAGTGAGATCACAAGCCTTCTCCTCTCTCTCCTCTACTTTTGCTCTCTTAGCTGGAATTTCTAGTTGTTCCCTACCAAGCTTCCTTTTTAAAGACGGTGCCGTAGCTGACAAATACAAACTGGAGCTAGTCTGGTTTTCCAGATGTTCAGTAACCATTCTGCTCTGCTTGCTTGCTTTAGAAACAGCTTTTGCAGAATACCAGTCAGTGGACACTAAGCTTTGCATCTTGCCATTTTTTTTATTTCCCAAGCCGGAGACATTAGCTTCAAGTCTCTGTCTGCATTTCCACCAACGCGATTTTGAAAGATACTGCCTATGAAACAAAAGCCTTTTTTGCATATAGTCAAGCAAGCTGCTACGTTTATGCTTTGAAAACCTTTGTTTAACAAACACTGGGGATGAGTCTAGATTATGTGAAATAAGTTCATAAACCGGTTGCCCACAAACTTGGTAACAATTACTAGGGGGAACCAGCATAAAGATTGCACAGTGTTCCAATAAATACATCATCACATCATCCCCTATCCTGCTCAGCAGCGTTTCCCACAGGCCGCTGATACGAATCGTTTCTGTCGCAGTGTTGGGTAGGTAGCTGTATATACTTGAAGATGGCATGATTTGAAAGCGAGAACTGTTTTCGTCCAGTAAGGAGTATCCATACGCGAGGACATTCTTCTTTCTTTTTTCACACAGTCTCTGAACGACTCTTGTGATGACTTCACTCTGCGTAGATAACTGAAGGAAGAAAGCAAAAAAGAAAATTAGCTTTTATCACTGACTCTTCCATAAGCCACAATATACGCCTTAAACAGACATGCAAGATACACAGTCCCAGGCCATCGGCTTCAAGGCAATATTAATGATTCACAAGTGCCATACCCAAAAAGAAAGATTTTTCAAGTGTACCACAAGACATTTACGTGCAGCAACATGGGCCTACGACTTTAAGGAAGTCTTTTTAACGTTTGCCCTTTTGATCCTGGTTTTCGTGCCCAGGAAACACCCTACGCTACTCCCCTGGCTCCCTCGCTACTCCCCTGGCTCCCTCGGCAACCCAGGCTCCAAGGCCTTCAGGTCACTCTGCCCGTAGATAGGTGCTCGCAGATACGTGCTCACGCAGGCTCTAACCTCCAGGGAACCAACACTGATTTTCTCGAGGCCTCCATTTCCTTTTACGTAAAGAAAAATTCAACCAAAGGACTCAGTTCACGATACTAAAACCCGCTCAACAAGCTTGCAAAGTTTGTTTCCTACCGTAGCGCACTTCTACTCACGCACGCAGTAGTTCCGAGAGAAAAAGCAAGTCTTTCCTCTCCGAAAAGTTTCTTCTGCTTAAACACCGACCTGCAAGCGGATTTCCCCCCCTCCTCTCTACCCTCTCAAGAGTGGGAAAGCGGCATTTCTCATTTCCAGTCGCTCCCCGGCCGCATTCGGTTTGTTCCCTCCTACCCCACAGGGCAAGCAGGGAGTCGGGGAGTCCCAGGCAGGTCGACCGTTTGC